CACACACACACACACACCTGAAAGCTACAAACCTAACTAAACTGCTACACAAATCCATGAATTCTTCACAGATGAGCGAGCAAAATGAAAAAAGGATGGGCTGAATCATTATTTGACTTTTGTTCGAACAAATTTGCGAGTATTTGACTCGTGTGTTTTATTTTCTTTTTATTTTACTAAATTGAGGTATTAACAGGTCACAAGTTCGAGTCTCAGCTATTCACTGAATTATTTGAAAGGATTTTTGCATCAGCTGGCAGAGATTTGGCACAAAGATAATTAAATCACCTCTCRTCAGAGTTTTAAACTAAGATTATCCCAGGATCTGAGAAATGAGGCAGTTTGGTTAAACCTTGAAAACAATGTTAAATTATTCTCATGTAAGGTTGCTAAATCTCACCATATCTTTTGGATTAAGGGTTGTGAAGGATGCTCAGTTACTATCATACCAAGTCTGAACTCAATATCTGCAAATCTGACTAAGTTATAGCCATTTTTGTGTTGGCTAATTTTGATTAACTGTGGCAAGCACCGTGAATCAAGTTGACTCCAAAAGCTAATCATTTGTAGATAATCATCCAATGGTTACATTCTGAGAGTTATTCAAAATACGCCTATTGGTTCATGAGATATTTTGCTAACAGACAGATGAAGTCGGCGTCAGCCTTATCACTAAAGTTTTAAGCGAGGATCTTGTGCCATGTGTAAAGCTCAGTGTATGTGTTGCAAATTATCCTCGACTACTACCACACCAAATTTCAGCTCAATATCTGTGGAATTAATTGATTTGTGGTCATTTTTGTGTTTAACGAAATTAGCTGGCTGTGGCGGTCATGTTGAATTGGGTTAACTCTGAAATGTAATGAGTTGCAGTTGTCCACCCAGCGACTGCTTTAGGAGAGTTTTATGAAAATCCGTTCAACGGTTTGTGTGATATTTTGCTAACAGACACAGAAACAAAAGCATTATCAACCAACTTCCGCCTTTCATTGAAGGGTGATGATCATTTGTCGGTGCACGTGTCACAGCCAGATGAGGATGTTGTTGGGTTCACATCCATGCCTGAGAGGCTCACAGAGGACGGACATCTTCTGCATGTTGCACCTCTCCTTCCTCTCACGTGTCCCAGTTCACAAAAATAAAAGGGACGCTTATAAAGCTCAGATGACTTCTCATACTGATGCAACAACACACACCCGCTTCTCAGTTAATAAACGAATCTCAAAACTGTCCAAATAAAAAATAAAAAACAGCGCAGGTTGTAATTGAGAATAATCTCATCCTGCTTTATGATCAGTCCTTGTGTGGCTGAACCCACAATATGCTAAGCATCAGAGCCCCCCCAAGAAACAGAGCTGCAGGAATAAAAACATTAAGGAGAATTTACTCACCACTGAACAGCGAGGAGAATGGGAGGCAAGGTGCGTGCTCTGAAGTTGTCAGATTAAGGTTGGCCCCTGACGTCCGTGTGAGAATGTCATCGTTTTTTTTTTTTTATTGTTTGTTTTTTGTTATTTTTGTTTTTCCTCTTCTGTTCGCTGTGCTGCTCGGTCTGTCCGCTCGATGCTGCTGCTCGCTCCGAGGCGCGGCGGAGGGAGAGGGACGCACTGCCGAGGAGAGAGGAGAGGAGAGGAGATGAGGAAAGGGAGGAGGGAGCAGGAGGCTTAGAGAGGATTTTGGAAAAACAGCGACCACGTGTGGTCAAGTCTGTGAAGCGCGGACACCACAGACACTACCTGTGTCATAAGCGATCATCAACTGGTGGTCCGCGGACTGCTTCTTGGCAGTGGCGCCTCCAGAAAGGTTTTAATGGTGGCCCATTGTGGGGGCTACTGAAAATCGTGGGGTGGCACCAAAACCAAAAACTAAAACAAAGTTTTGGGATATGTTTGTGTTATGTTGTCATATATACTGTAAGTTCAGATTTACACAGGTAGCTTTTGTTGTTTTTGATATTGCTTATTGAGAAAACAGTCAATTTATTGCAGCTTGTCCTTCCATGAGTTTATAGTTATATAACAAATATGAATACAAGGTTATGAGACCGTGCATCATGATCAGAACACTGGCTTCAGACTGGTAATTATTTATAAACATAGCCAAAAAGTAAGGAAATTTGGTAGATTGTGTTGTAACAAATCATATACTGGAAAGCCTGTTAATTTCCCTTTTAAATGGTGCCACATTTGTAAGGAACATGCATTTGTGTGATGTGAGCTTCACATCTGAGGAATTTGCCAAATCTTCTCTGCCAAACAGCTTATTTTGCAGTTWTTGACACTTGCTTTGAGCGTCTGGACATAGTCAGCGGTCAGTAGGTGTCAGCTTATCAGCATGCCATATTTGACTGATCTGGAAAGGGACAACTTCAAGCTGGTGTTCTGCAAAGTTAATTTGTGGCGTTTAGAATGAGCCCATGTACAAACTCCAAACTGAAGGCTGAGTTCCATATCAGAGACAGGTGTCCCAGGAAGACAACACCCCAGGAACATTGTTTCCTCACCCTGTCAGCACTTATAGGTACAGGCTTCCTTCTACAGATTTGCAGTCAAGGTTTCCAGGATGATATGGCTGATGGCCTTTTGTGACCATGGTTCTTCCACATAATACTGAGTCTCCTGTTTGTTAAACTGCCTATGTGTCTAGTTTCTTCAAACTTTAATCATCCAGTCCACAAAGCACCCAAGAATCAGCTGTTTGGCAGAGAAGATTTGGCAAATCTTTAATGTGCGCAACCCACATACTCTTACACTCCACATGACTTACAAATCAACAGGCTTTGCGATTTATTGCCAAGAAGCATTGCTACAACAAAGAAATTATCCACTACACGCGAATAGCCTTACTTTTTTGTGCTAAGTTTATAGTTATGCTTTAACTCCTAATAGCTCAAAAACAATATTTTTTTGTATTATGAGGTTCTAATGATCTTAAACAGGAGAAATTAAAAAGGCACAAAGCAAATAACAAACTGATTTTTTTAATACAAATGTAAGATTACAAAATGTAAAAGTAGAGTATGATATACAGCGGGTAAAATAAGTATTGAACACGTCAACATTTTTCTCAGTAAATATATTACTAGAGGTGCTAATGACATGAAATTTTCACCAG